AGACCACGAGACGTATTCGAGAATCGACTACGTGCATATTCCACCTTCAATTCCCCTACTACCATTCCCTAACCCTACACCACCCTACTTCTTCTTCACCCTACTCTTTGAATTTATATGAGAGTTTAAAGTACACCCGTTTATACTGGGTGTTTCATAACTGCATATCAATCTTTCAGATTTGCGTCAAGCTTACGTCAAGGGTTGTTAGAGAATTGGCTTCAAACAAACTGGATAAAATTAGAAAGGTCGGAGCCCTATGACATACAATTCGAATATGATTTTAATCCAAACGTAAAATTGAAATGAAATTAATATGACATCTTTGGAATTGTTTTAGCATGCAAATATATTCTCAAAATATATTGACAAGCATTTATAAAACACCTTGTATATCATCGAATAGTATGTATAATATGTGAAACTCTCGGCTACGTAATTATTCATCGAAGCATGATCGGTCGGCCTCTGGTATATATATGTGTGGTACAGTATAGTACTTGAAAAAGGGGAGAAGTAAGAAGAACTTGTGCACGCATACTTGATGACGACGATGACGATGATGATAATGATTATTATTGTTGTTGTTCCTGGTCGGTTTCTTTGAGGTTAGATCGATGGGATAAATGAAATATGGGTTTGATTGATAATTAATGAAAATGATTGAAACAAAATGAAGATGGAGGTATGGTATTCTGAAAGAGAGGCTGCTCTCTAATTACATGGTTTATTTATAGTGTTCTGGAAGTTACTCGGGGAAATTGTTTCTTTCTTATATGTGTATAGGGTTTTGTTCCTTTGGTATATAGGGGAGATTTACATTGTGCGAGGATAGCTTATTATTATAGAATGTTTTATTATTTAGGAACATCAAATTGTATGCCAAGATAATTATAACAAATATTACTCTATATATTTATTCAAAAAATAGAAGAGAAAGAAACATTTTAAGCAACATACTATAATATTTCTATAGAAAAGGAAAGAAAACTATCCCGAGATGTAATATATCATATATTCGATTATTCAGCATCCCTTTTATTTTTCCTGAATCAAAAAGTCACCACCCATCATTAATTTTGACAGTCGTTGGAATCACGTGTAACGGAGGGGTCAAAGAGCGTATCGTCGATCGTTCGGATTTTAACGAGTTTGTATGTACGCCTGCAAGTAAATATATACGTATATACGTATCCACGAACGCGCACACGTACACCATGCATACATATATCAAAGTGAAATAGTAATAGGGGAAAGTTTCGTCACGACAAATGATGTAGAAATGAACCGATTCCGAATGACTACGAAAAATACTAACGACAGGACACGAGTGTTAGCTAACATTGATCTATGGTTGTTTCCGAACGATTATCTTTTCCCTAAGGAAGGGTAACCAATACTGCACTCTGTTATTCTTGTGAAATAATCATTTATAATCCCAATGGAAATACGATTATTTATCGAAGTGATCATTTATATCGAATTATGAAATATAATTAAAATCATATTTATTATTTATTTATTTCTTTTAAATTCTATGCACTGTGTATAAATATTAAATGAGTTTTTTTCAACATCCTGTATAATAATAATAGTATTATAATAGTATTATATAATATTAGTAATAGTAGACGCGGAATTTTGTTGGAATTCTTGAGATATTTTTGAGAAATAAGCACCCCATGTTTTCTGTTCCATAATAAAAAGGGTACGGTATCAGGTTTCTGCTAGCAACAGCGTAAGTCAACGAATTTTCCTTTTCCTCTTTCGTTCCTCTCTCGTTGCTCACTCGTGCGTGTCATCTTTACTCGGATTTCTCTCACCCTCGTCTCTTCTCTTAACCCCTTTTAGTCTGCTTCTCTCTCTCTATCTCTTTCTCTTGTATCACAATGGACTTTAGGGGTAGGTAAATCCAAGCACGATACCGGCGAGCGTATCCAGGCATTAGAATCTAACGAGATGAATTTCAAACTGGAGATTAGCGATGCCTAAGTGCTCCTTCCCTTCACTCCCCTTTCTCTCTCTCTCTCTCTCTCTCTCTATATATATATATATATACACACATAAATATATATACGTGTACATATCTACAGAGTTCTTAAAAAAAAATATATCTGCACTTGTTTTATGACACAGCATTTACAAGTGACGGAAAAGAAAATACATTTTTGATTTGTCTATTCATATAACTTAATCTTTTTTCGAAACTAGTTTTCGTTTCGTCCCTTTCCTTTATTATCTTTCCTTGACTATTCTCTCTTTGTCACTTTTAATTCCTGATCGTTCGTAAAAGCATCCTTGTAAAGCTAATGCACAGAACGTATTCGTTTAGGTATATTCGTATATGTCTATATAATGTATACCATACCATTATTGGCTCTTACTCGATCGATTAGTACTCTAACCGGCAGGCAGTATCCATTATGTATCGCTCCTATCGTACGACTAATTTTCTAACAACGAACCTTCCTTCCTTTGGGTAACACAGTTTCAACGTACCACTTTGTATCTGTGAAAGCTTTTCATATAGAGGTTCATGTGTATTGATGTTTAAGAGTGCACCTTTGTGTGGGATGCTCGGTTGAATTAAAGCGATAGTTTAAAGCAAACCTGTCCAACACGCGGCTCGCACGTGGCCAACGACATAATATTCATTTCCTTCAAAAATAACATCGACATTCGTTCTCGCGAAAGTTTCAGATAAAAATACAAATCTCGCGAGTCGTCAAAACATTCTATTTCTTCGACGCGTGCCACGCGACATTTCCTCTAATTTCTATTTCCGTCCTTTCCCACCATGACGTCACTTTTCCTAAGAACTAACCCTCCTACATACGCAGTATGAAAACTCGTTATATTCCTCGAAGCCGCCATGTGTCACGAGAAAAGGGACGACTTTGTTCCGGAGATAACGATCCCCATGATTTCCTCTTTAACTTAGATGATATATATTCGCTAAGTGGTCACTTTTCGGTTTTCACGATTATATCGTACAATTGTACAATCGTAGATTATCTTAGTGAACTAGGAAATGTCGTTCATAACTTATATTTCAATTTGAGAAATACTTTTTACATTTCTTTTCTCTTTAAAATCGTTGATAGTTTATTGCAACATTCACACCTCTCGTTAACGGGTTAACAATTTACCAGTCTCATTTTTATACTTTTCGTTTATTAATTAAACTTTACTTTCATTTTAAAGAATCTTTACCGTCGTTTTAATACTCTTTATTAAAATATATGCATTCATAAAAAAGTCGTATTAAGTATATACGTTTGAATAAATGTTACGAAATTGATATTATTAAATAGAGTACATAGGTATAAAGAGGGTTGTTTCCCCTTTAAAATGAATCTTTGCTCGAGTCTCTAGGATTTTTTCTTGCCGAGATATGATGATTCGAAGTTTTCTATTCATAATTCGGAGGCACGTCAGGGAGTGGTCACGTGATTACTACTCGTAGTAAACGTAGTAACCGTGAGAAGGCGCGCGTAATTTCTTGGAATTTATGTAGGTCACTGGGTCAGTAGGCTCATTCATAAGAATTATTTACGCTATTAAAATTGTCATTTTAATATCTCGGAAACTATAAGTCGTAGAGACTTGGTTAAACATTTATTTTAAAGGATAGAAATTCACCTATCTTTTCATTATATTGTTAATAACAATTGATGCATTTGTTATAAATAATAATTTGCAAACAATTTCACCCGAATTAACGCTCTAATTTAAATGTTATACCGTTTCCTTGTGTATCAATATTACAAAATTAATTAGTTACAGACAGATTGTTATAAATAATTGATAGTCAAGAATTTGGTCGCATAATTTTTTACAAAATCGAGGTATCTTTCCGTACCAAAGGTTTAATTTATTGACTGGATGCATTACGAATGATATTAGTAATGAAGTCACGTAGCTTAGTATAACAAATAATTTGAATGTGTCTGTAACAGGCCGTGTTCTCTGCGCTAAACCATTTTAAGTTCACTTTATGAACGTCTAACCCCTTTTGAATATTAAGTAGTCAACCAAAAAGTCATGCTAAATCGTATGTCCTTCCGAATATTAATTTCACGTTTATAAAAATATAAAAGCAAAAGCTTTATCTCATTACTACAGATATTGCAATTTAAAATATCGTATATTTGTAATATTATTTTAATTTAAGTACAACTTTATTCTATTTCTAAAAGATAAAATATTGAGTAAAAGAGTAAAACTTCATTATTGTTAAATAACTTTTGAAACATTTTTGTCTTTATTTTTGAAAAGATTATGTACTTATAAAGTAAAGGGAAAACATGGTGACGGAAATATGAAACGTATATCAAATTTAAACGTAGTCGATGTTTCTGATCTGTTATGATTATAAATGATGGGATTTACCATTCGATTAATATTCATAGTCGTAATTTGATGTGCTTGGCAAGCCGATATACTCCTCCGATTGGAATAACAATAAGTGCATTCTACTATTGCGTGGCTTTAGCAATGGCGATAATCTCTAATAACGAGAGAAATTAATATTCTTCGCGCTTATGCGTTGGCCGATCGTTTTGTCGGAGTCACTGAACACAACGTGATTATTAAATACGTTTGGAGATCGATGATTTAGTTTATTTATTATACGTCAAAATTACGATGCGTTAAGATAGAAGATAAAAATTCATTAATATCAATCCTTTAAGTATATATACTCGCGATAAAAGAGGAGAAGTTTTTCGTAGTTACTTGAGAATAAAACTAATTACCATAATAAATTAATTTAGGAACTATTCAATGACCATAGTTAGCTTCGATTAAATTTATTACTGGAACAAATGAATTTACTACTTTAATAATTCAGAGCTTAGAAAATGTTCAAAGTATTATCTTCACGTGCATACGTCGTCGGAATAGATGTATCATTATTATTTATAATCGAATAAATTTATATAACTACCTCGATCGATATGATAAATTTTAATTGAAACTTCTATCTTTGTCTTTTCCAGAGAAAATCGATTATCGTTCGAGTTATCGTCGTCTAACAAGTGAGATCGATCGATCGATCTATCAACGGTGACATCGTAGAGAGTAACAACTAAGTGAGTAATTCGATTAAAGACAAACATGATCCATCTAACCCACCGTGATATTTTTTCCCTTATAGATGACTTTATTATCTTTCTTCAAATATTAAATCATTGCTGTAGATAATATCGGTCTTTAGCTTTCTTTTTTTTTTTTATTTCTTTTACGATACAAATGAACACCAACACACGAGTATACAATTAAAAAGATTTAATAATTTTTCCTATTGTACAGAGTGTCCTCATTTCAAGGTAAATGCTTTATACGAGGCTTGAGTTGCATGATGCATACGGGTTTGCATGATCTCCTGAAAACTAAGCAACTTTCGTTTGTAACATTATAATATTCACGTTATTTCGAGTCGTCATGAAACACCAAAGTAACTTTTTAATAAAGTGTTTAAAAGTTTAGATTTTTAAATAGCACTTTCTTCTTATTTTTACTCGTAAAATGTGGAGGTAAAATTTGGAGATGAAAAATTAGGACGCCTTGTTTAATAATAAATCTATAAAAAAATGTTCAACAAGAAAATATATAATCGAATTAATTAGTGTATGTGTCTAATTTTGTCTATTCTTGTAGAAATATTGATCTCTCGTTATTTCAAGTCTCGTCGTATAATATTTAATATAGTTTATTTGTTTTAAGCGAGAAGAAGAAAGATATTTTATTGCTTGGTAAAATTGTCGACTATTCGTTCGAAATTCGAACGATTTTCGATATCCATTGTTTCATCTCGTTTTATCGCACATCGGTTCTATCGAAATAGTAGTAGCTAGAAACTAGAAAAGAAAGAAAAGAATGCGAGGAGAAAAGGTTTCTCTTTTTGACAAAAGATAGAGAAGAAATCTCTGGCGTAGCTACAATTTTATCTCCGTTGAAATAAGAATCTTTAGAATTTTCTACACGGACACGAGTGGACGACACATCTCGGTCGAACGAACGTGTTCGCCAAAGGTTACAGGATAGGCGAAGGATATTCGCCATCGATTTTGCTTTGTTATTGTATCTCCTCGAGTCAAGATAGTATCGTTCGGAACTCGATCGAGGAAAATTGAGTCTGAGAAAGGGAGCGAGAGAGAGAGAACGAAAGAAAAACTAACGAAACATCTGTTGTATTCTACAAAATATCTTTTCTTATTTTCTCCTTATACAATGTTTCATTTTCTAACATTATCCGACAATTCTAATTGTCTTCGTGAAGAGTAAAGGAGAAAAAAGAACAAGCCTTTTCGAGCTCATACAAAATTTCATATGAAAAATTCTTGTATAGAAAATTGGTACGTACACGTAAGGTATCGTTTCGTAAGCTTTCGCGAACTTTCAGGGAGCTTTGCGATACTCTTTGCAAAGATTGGAAGATAACATTGGAGATGGACGAGGTGCGAGGATATAAAGAGCATAACGTGTTTCACAATTATCTCAGCAGTCAATTATCTAGTTCGCGTTGTCTGATAGAGTTGCCAAGCGTTTGTGTAATTTTCCATTAGAACGTAACGCGCTCGAAAAAGCAGCGAACTAATGGCTTTCTCTCTTTGCCTGTCCAATTTTTCAATCTACCCGAATCCACGAATAGTAAAAAGATACGTTAATGGATCGTTAATGGTATGAATAGATTTTAACGGATAAGAACAATATCTATTTGCAATACCATATGAGAACATTCCATTGAATTTACATTTTTCCAAATTATTTGCATATTCCGCAAATTTATTTAATAATAATATATATAATAATAATTTTATATTTCTCTGGTATCTTTCATATTTCGCTTCGACACTTACGCCTGTAGTCTCTTGTATGCAAGGAAGTACGCATATTTTGTAAGAGTTAGAGTACCTTTAAAGATCTCCAAAGTGCACTGCATTTTAAATAGCCCGGGAGGGTGAAGTTGCGGTGGTAGTAGAGGGCAGGGGCGTATATAAGAGGCCGTTGGGTACACTTGCACTCGCGAAAGGGCGCTTCTCAGTCTGCCGTCGTCTTTGTCCTCTTCGTCATCCACGTCGTCATCTACGTTGTCATCCCTATCGTCATCCACGTCGTTTCCGCGTGGCACGTTTTAACGTTGTCTCCTATCTTCCTAAGAATCGCGTCTATCCAAGAAGATAATATAAAGTCTCTTCCTTCTTCCAGGCACCAACATTATCAAGTCTTACCACTCCCATTTAACCTTTCTTCACTTAAAACCCGTTATATATATATATTATAACAAATAAAAAATGCAAGCTTTAGTTTACCTTTTCAAAGGTTCCATTCATATGATATTCATTTTGTCATTTATTAATACGAAATAGTTTGTAATTGAAGAAATTACTGCGAATTCCGAATCGAGATCGAATTCGTATCTAATAGGTTCGTTCAAAAATCGCTGATGCTACTCTGATCTCTCGATAGACGCAGAGAACAAACGGAGAACAAAAGAACATCCTGAATTATCTTCGAGTTCCTTTTCCCCAGTGGATTTCTTCCTTCGGCGTTTCAACAAATGAGAACAGATAATACATCGGAGATTATTTTCAACGACGATTTCTATCTTATTCGGAGCTCATCCCTTCCTTGTCTTTATTTTCTTTCAAAGTAAAGAGCCGAAAGCATAGTAAGAAGGGAAGGAAGGAAGGAAGGAAGGAAGGGATCGACAAGGGAATCCCTTCGAACTTGGCGAAGGCTTGCTTGCACTCGTCTTCGACACTCGTCGCGCGTGTCACAGAATTCCTGGAAATCCTAGCCACGGGCAAAAAGGATCCTTTCGTTCGTTGTTACGTCATCGGACCTAGTATCGGCCCTAAGGGCAACGACCGTTTCTCTGACGGAAACGGAATATACTCACGTATATCGAAAAATAAAAGAGAGAGAGAGAGGATCAAATGCGTGTCCCTTTTTTCATGAAGGAAATTCGAGAAAATTCTTCTTCACTTCTTTCAAGTCTTGTCTTTTTCACGATAGATATCATAGGATATATATATATATACCTACAGTTTGAAAATCGACGACAATGAAGGGTGATAGGTGAACCAGTGGGAAGGGTGGTGCTTCGAGGGGAAAGGAAAAAATCAATTTGTTCTCAACGTGACATCCTTTGAGATCACTTAGTGGAAAATTCCACGCTGCATCGAGCACTCCATATCACCCTGTATTTCTTTTTCTTTCTCTCTTTCTCTTTTGCTCGCGGCATCCCTTTTCTCTCTTCTTAATGGTCCGAGAAGAGAAAAGGGTCGCGCGTTCGGGGTCGATCGCTATTGCTGGTACTTTTATGACGTTCGGAAAAAGGGGGGACACGGATGTGTGTGTGTGTGTGGGAGTGGAATGATTTTTGGGATTGCTTAATGTCTTTGCCGTGTTAACTGTCGACGAATTGTCCTTTTTGAAGAGTAAGGGTTCCCATATTCCGTACTGTATTAAGAGTATGGATAGTTTACTGATAGGTCACGTGGCCTGATGATACTCTTCATACATTCCATCTACAAGGTGTCCGAAAAAGTCCAGACAAGCTTATATTTTTGGACACCTTCTATATATATATCCCTCTTTCTCTCCTTTTATTTTTGACCAGAATTATTATGTTTATATATTCATGGGTGTTGGAATTCGAACTTCGCGTGTAAATTAAATCTCATAAAATTAAAATCTCGCGTATGTGTGCGTTATATATATATAGACATTCTTGTATATTTAAAACTAGTAGTACTTACATATGTGCATATGTATATGGAAATGAAAAATATGAGCTTTTAATAAAAAATTCATTCGCATATTTGGCTTGATAAGTCACGTTGCTTGCTTTACTTTATATATATATATATATATATATATATATATTTCTCTATCTCTCTCTCTCTTTTTCCTTTTATTGTGCTTTTATTCTTGATTTTATTTTTTATATATTCACGCCCGTTGAAGTTCAAATTTTGTGTGAATTAAATCTCGTGGAATTAAAATTTCATATAATCTATCATATAGATAATATATATAATAGCAATATAAAATAATAACTATAATTTAGTATTTATGATAAAATATCGGTCTATTTAGACAGATTTCGTCGAAATGCAGATCGTTAAAATCGAAATATTTGAAAACGTTCTCGAAAGGTCCTCGAAAATGTTCTTGATAGGAAATCCAAAAGAGAAATAGGTCTTCAAAGTCGTCCAATTCTAATTGGAAAGGATCTTCTCAATAGAGTTCTTCCAACTGATGAGATCACAAAAGTTCCAACTCTTTCTATACGTCTTCCTTTTCCTCTCCATCCAGTTGCCTCGGCAATTCTCATTGGCGAACGTAAAGGACGAACATCATTTCCTCTTCGCGTTCACTTTTGAATATTTTCAGAAGGAAAAAAGAAGACAAAGTTGGGCGAGTTTGCGTGCATTCGTCCGTACGACAATAACGTCGGTCTCTTAGTTTTCCACATGGTTTCATTCGAAGATTACGTTGTTTTATGAATTTCAACCATAATTTTTCTTTCCACGTATGCACAAAGAAATAGAATTTCCTTTTCTCAAGGGAAATTGTAGATTTTTCTAAAGCTCCAATTTGATTTTATTTCACGTTAAGTGAAATTATTATTGGCGGACATTTTAGGGAGCGAAATTACGCGCAAATAGAATAGAAAATGAATGTTTCATTTATTAGAGCCCTTATCTCAAAAGACAGTTTTAAAAGCAGATTTTAAATTGGAAAAAAGGTTCTTAATGGTCGTTTGATAGTACTCGAAACATTGTCTCGTTCCAAGTGGTAGACCATACAACATCGATGAGTTGTCTAGTTTGCAAAGAGCACTTAAAGGTCGTCGATATTCCCATCGTCGCCCATCGAAAAGAGCATGTAAAACGTTAGAATAAATTTCAATGAATTTCACCAAATACCACAAATACTTTTCCAACAATTTCACAAGCAAAAATAAGTTTAGAGATATGAGGAATTATTACAAAGATTTCCCCTAAGTATACTTATTCAAATAGATATGGATATTTTAGTTTAAATTTTCATGATTAATTAGTTAGATAATATTAGAAGT